AAGAGAGAAGGAGCAGTGGGGCAGTGCCGTGACATTGAAGAGAAATAAGAAAGGTTTTGTATTAGTAAGGTTTTACAGCGCTCGCAACTGCATTAGGTCATATGATCACCAAGGAGTGGATGTCAACTGAGAAGTCCAAACGGGGAGTCAGGCTTACTCTGCTCACGTCTCTAGCCTCAACAGCACAAAGTCTGCTTCAACTATTAGGGCACCCCGGTAATTACAGTTCACAAGAGAGTGACAAACATACGAAAAAAGTAGAGGAAAATGGCGGTAGTAAGGATGAGGAAAGCAAAAGCAGCAGTTCCCCCTATGTTGTTCCGGCACAGCATGAGCATGACATTGACAAAAATCAACCCCAGTACAATTCTAATGTGCATAAGAACATGTTAATATCCCCCCTTTGGGAATGGCTTAAAGACTTCAGTCAGTAGCTCTGCCCTGGGAGGATAAAAGAGGGGCATTTCAGTAAGATGGACCACCTAACAAAAGAAAAGAGTGGGCACGTGGTTTTAACTCATTCAGTGCTGCGGACGAGAATACTCGCGAAACCTGGCCCCCGCACACAATACCAAGTTATTTGAACTAACCGTGATGCATTATGGGAGAGGTCAAGGAGACATTTTTTCTGCTCGAACAGCCATTGAGCCCGCTTGGTTTGATTTATTTTCCGGGGTTGACCTAATTTCACGTTGCCATAACGAAACTGCCCAGTCTAATATTATGAGGGTAGTTCATTGCTGGAGCGCTCAGTACCTGGATCGCTAACAACAACGACCGCTCAGCACTGAATGAGTTCAAGAAAATTTAGAGATGCAGAAAGAAAGTTGTGTCCTTTGTGGAAGAAGTTGGACTGGAGCATGGATGTTGTTCAGCACTTACATGACCTTATTGTGTTGCAAGTGCCGTAAAACTCTTACTAAAACTTAAAAAAGGATGTTGTTGTTGTTGTTAGCGATCCAGTAGCATCTGAGCGTTAACTCTTCTGCCTGATGCCATTCTGTAATAGCTGCATGTCTGTTCTAATTAGAACAGACATGGAGCAAGGGTTAATGTTACGAAAGGAAGAAGATATAAAGATAGGTCAATTTCATTATTGATGTAAAGGGATCAGAGCCCAATTGGGGAGTGGGTGCTATAGAAATTTACTTATTATTATTATTAATATTACTATTGTTATCAATATTACTATTATTATTATTATCATTATTTTTATTATTATTATTTTATTATTATTATTATTATTATTATTATTATTTGTGATGTTTCAGAAAAGAAAATACCATGGGGAGCGATCGACAGACGCCATGGTTGACGAAGCTCTGAGAAATGTCAAGGCCACTCGGTATGAACTCAAGTCTGGCAACTTCAAGGCTTATGTGGAAGACGAAGATAACCTGATGCCATGGCTCATTACTTTCTGTGGCGATGGAGGAGGTGAGTCCAATATTTTTCTTTTTTAGTATTGGCAAGAGTTTTACGACACTTGCAACACAATAAGGTCATATAAGTACCAAAGTGAGTGGTTGGCGGGTGCTCTGGTGTGGTTTGCTCCTTCTTTCCTATCAAACATCTATCGTCCTTATCTCCCCTCCTTCTTTTTTGTGTTTGTTACTCTCTTGTAACACCTCTAATCTTCTGGCGCTCCTCTGACCTTATGCAGCTGCGAGTGCCGTAAAACTCGTACTAAAAACTAAGTACCAAAGATTGAAAGCAAGCGAGGCAGGGGTAGGCCCAGAGCAACCTTCCCCCACTTTGGTTACCTAAGCAAATGGGTAACGGGGAAAGATCAGGGATAAGTAACTTTTTTAAGAGCATCCGAGCAAAGGAATGAATGGAGAACCATGATCGCCGATGTCTGTCGCAGACCTGGCACGGGATGATGATGACTAGAGAGTAACAAACAAAAAAAAAAGGAGAAGAGATAAGGAGGATACATGTTTGATAGGAAAGAAGGAGCAAACCACACCAGAGCTCCCGCCAACCGCCCACTGTTCTTTATCGGGAAAGAGAGAAGGAGCAGTGGGGCAGTGCCGTGACATTGAAGAGAAATAAGAAAGGTTTTGTTTTAGTAAGGTTTTACAGCGCTCGCAACTGCATTAGGTCATATGATCACCAAGGAGTGGATGTCAACTGAGAAGTCCAAACGGGGAGTCAGGCTTACTCTGCTCACGTC